CCCCAGTGAGAACTGGGCAGCAGTAAAAAGATTTGCTGGCCCAGTAGGATAGGGCAGGAAAGACTGGTGTGGTAGAGTAGTGTAGAGGGCTTTTTGGAGGTCCACAGGGGCAAGAATGCAATCCCCACTCTCCCAAGCCGCAACTCACAAAGTACACGGCTCCAAAGCTGCCATGGCCAATTTCGCGGAGGTCAGAGAAGAGCTTTTCGGGGTCATCCTTGAAGAAGAGCTCAGCCACATCAGGGTCCTTCAGGCTCCCGGCCCGGCCCCCAGCTGGCATGGTGGCCCCTGGGGGCCCTGAGAGTGGGGCCTGACCTGGAGAACAGAGATGGGACCCTTAGTGCAAGGATGGGGCCCTCAGAGAGAGGAAGGGGCCCCTCAAGTTTCTGCCTTCTCCTCCCCTAGTTTCCCGATGAGGGGGAAGAAGCACCGTTGAGGAAGAGCAAGGGGAAATTAGGAACAACATCAAACCTCCAAAAAAATGAAGTTGCCTGGCAACCAGACCACGGGGGCCAGGTCCCAAGTCCCCAAAACTGCTAGGAAGCCTGAAAGCTAAGCATCCTCACTACCCTCCTCAGCCCTCAACAAGTTCCATTTCCTCACAACCCCTACTTTCCCCTCAAAAGAGTCTGCCTCCCAGCCAGAACCCGAGATCCCCAAATGTCCTGTCTCACAAGTCCCATACCCCAAACATTTCCAGGCACCTTCCTGTTCCCCTTGGCGTTGAGGCCCCCTCCTCCCTCAACTTCTCACACCATGAAAGAGAGCAGGAAATGGCCAGGCCGGAGGCAGTGGAAATCCGGCCATTGTTAGAAGTGGGTACTGGCCCAGAGGGGCCAGAAGACTCACTCTCAAAAAGGGTTAGGGACACTGTGGCAGGGAGGAGATCTAGAATGGGAAGGACAAGGACAGAAACGGTGTCCAGCTTTGGGGGCTTCTCTGTGACCTGGGCTGCCTTATTTGCCCAGTCCAATTGCATACGCATCACACACAGGTACAGGACATTTGCAGTGTACAAATAACATTTATTGAGCATGTATAGTGAGCACCTTATATGTATTATCTCTCATTCAATCCTCACCACAACCTTATAAGGTATTACTATCACCCTTATTTTGCAAATGAGGAAACAGGCTCAAAAGGTTAAATGACTTGCTCAAAGCTAGTCCTCCACCACTGTGCTTTCAGCACAGCCTATGAAACAAGCAGGGCAGGGTCATGGTCACCATTTCGCAGATGAGGTCACTGAGGCATAGAAAGGAAAAAGAACTTCTCCAAGGTCGGAGAACAGGATCTTCTCTCCAGTCAGGCCTGAGTGCTCATAACTCTCTCAGCAACTCACTCCAAGCCCAGCCCCCTCCTGCAGGAAGCCTCCCCTGATCATTCCAGGCGTTGGGGAGAGCTCCTAGAGCACCCAGCCAAACACCCAAAGAAAACTCCTGCAGGACATCAGAGCCAAGACCCCCAAGAGGATTCCAGGCCAGGCTTCTGGCTGAGCACTTGAAATTTAGGTACAAAGGGGCCTTCAGCAAACCTGGACTCCCAGGGCAGAGTTCTAGCTCCTTAAAAGCACCTAACAATTTAGCATGTAATTATATTCTGTCGTGCATTGTTTCCTGTTGTGTTGTTAATTTTGTCTCCTCAGCCCAACTAGAAGCTGGAGCGCAAGGAGCAAGCCCTACTCTCCAGTGGGCCCCCAGGGTGCAGAGGGCTCAGAATAGCCTGGGAGATTGATTGATTGCCCTCAGCAGCTCCCAGGCTGCTTAAAGCAGGCCCCTTTCTCCATTCTCCTGCCAGCAACCCTGCCAAGCACTCCTCACCCTCACCACACACCCACACACAAAGGCAGGTGCTCACAACTTGCCAAAGGAATCTTCCTGACCTCTTTACCAGCACCCAGCCAAGAATGCCAACACAGGACTCCAGGTCACATGTAAAGGATGCCAGCAAAACATCACACGGGGCCTCTTCCTCAAATAACAACGAACATTTCAGCGATTACCAACGTCTGTGCTAAATCATAACCACCTTCTAAAATGAACAATGTTATCTCCATTCTGCAGATGAGGAAACCCAAGTTTGTCTGTCCCTAGGCTACACTACCAGTACATTTCATCTGCTATGTACAGCAACAGGGCTTTGACTAAGTTCCTTATACTTGGTCTTCTCTTCAGTAAAATCAATTACAGCATGTGCTGTTGTGAGATTTTTAATGAGATCTCATATTTAGGAACACTATGCAGACACTCAGCATGTGGATTTTTCCTTCCCTGCCTCCAGGGTCACCACAACAAGGCTTTAATACTTTGGGGATCATCGCACCCTCCAGGAGCTTGGCTTTAACTGTTAAGAGACACTACTATGGCTATCATTTGTCAGAAGAGAGAGCTCTCTCAGGAACCCAGGTCAAAGGCTGGGATCAGGGTAAAGATGAAGGTCACAGTAGAGAAAAAGATCCATGAGGCAGAAGGCAGAACCTCCCATCAGCAAAAGCTTCTGAGGATAGACCTCCTAAAAAGGAAGCTCTTGTCCCTCCCATTCTTAAATCTCACCCCAACTCATTCTCCTCTGGACTCCAGGCCAAGCCCAGGCACAGAAGAAAAGAGATGGCAAGAGACAGGTCTGGAGTAGGGGCAAGACTTGATTGAGGACCTGGGTTCAAATCCTGTTTCCGCCACTGTGTGACTTGGGCAACCTCTCTGGGCCTCAATATTCTCAACTGTGAAATGGAAAGATGGAAATAAAAGAACCCCCCCCCACCAAGAGGAATGGGAGGAGGGAGAGGTCATATGAGAGAATGGATGTAAAGCACTTTGTAAATGACAGATCGCTTGACAAATGTATACGATTATTTATACCCTCACAGCAAGACGCTGGAAGGCATCTATAGCTGGGAGAAAATATTGCCAGGCACCCCCAAACACAAATGCACACACACACTTCCTTGAGTGGACAAGAAACCCAACAGACCATGCCTAAAAAACAGATAAGCAGACCCACCATGGGGATCAGAGGCATGGGAATCAACACCCCAGAGCAGTCAGGAAAAAGGGGTATAATCCTGGAGAAGAGGTAGCTGTGAGGGGCCAAGTGAACACAGAGAGGACCAGAAGGGTGCAAAACCATCTAGTTAGCTCAAGCACCCTAGGGCGTGACCCTCCGTGACATCAGAGACCCTGTCACCTGAGGTCCCCCATCAACCAGACATAATGAAGGGAAGAGGAAGGGGAAGAGGGTGGCAGCAGAAGGCAAGGCTAGCCAGAGGCTGACCACTGGCCCAGCTGGGCTTCCCCAACCTGAGGAGAGGGCCTATCCAGGCCCAGCTTCTCAGAAAGGAGCACCCTTTCTTCTCAACGCTAGACACAGGGACCCACGCCCCTGCACCCCGTGTCTCACCTGGTAGGGGTCACTATGATGCCCCAGCGCCTCCGCCTCTTCCTGGGGTCCTCCAGCGGTTCTGCCAAGCAGGGAGAGGGGCAAGGAGACCTTTCCCCTTGCCACCTCTTCCTCGGCTTTCGCCCTTCCTGAGGGGCGGGCCCGGGAAGCCTCCCCTGGAGGGGAGGGGGTGACAACCCGATCTGACCTCGCGGTCCAGTCCTCCTCCTCCTCGAGGGCGACAGTTGCTGAATCCCGGATTTCTGATTGTGGGGTCTGAACCCCGGATATCTGAACGGAGGCTGAATCTGATATTTGAACGCGCGGGGAATGAACCCCGGATACTGCTGCACGCAGGGGAATGAACCCCAGGTATTTGAAATCCTATGAAACAGAGCCCCAGGTTTAGAGAGGTTGGGACCCAAGTCCGGGATAACTGGAATCTGAGGGGCTGATACCCGGATATTTGAGAAGCGAGGGGTCAAGCCCGGAAATTCGGGACGGAAGGGCCTGAAACCCAGATCTTCGGCCACCGACAGGGGGCCCACCCTGAGGACGTCCGGCCTCACGGTCCCTCTCACGCCGGGGTCCGAGGGTGACAGTCCCCACTCCCACCCCGGCCTCCTCCCTCTCCCCTTCTCGCTCCTGAGGGTAGCTGAAAGATTGTGGCTATGGGCGGTCCCCTCGCCCCCTCTCCCTCTCTTCTCAGTCTCAGCCTCTCTCCGCACCACAGCCCCGGACTCGTCCCGGCCTCTCTCTCCCTCTTCCTCCCAATTCCAAGATGGAGACCAGGCGGGAGGGCGCAGGCGCGGGAGGGACGCCGGGCCAAAGAGGGCGGGGCCTCAAAGGAAACAGCCCCGCCCCTCTCTCCTTACTGCCGCGGCCTGGGAGATGGGCAGCCACCGAGCCTGACTGCGCGCGCGCCCCGCCACGCGGACCCTGGGTGGGAGGAGGCAGGGAGAAGGGCTAGGCTTGAGGGGGAGGAGCCCAGCGCGCAGTCCGACAACTGGCGGTGGAGAGGGCTGTGGCGCATGCGCTCGCCCCGCCTTAGCGCTGAGCACAAGCTTGTTGCTAAGGGAAGCTTTGAGGGGGCGCGGGTGGAAGGAAAGAAGCAGCCGTGATCTGCGCCTGCGTGCAGTGTAGAGGTTGGGAGGGGTAAGGGAAGGCTGCTGCTGGGTGCGGAAAAGGCGGGAAAATGGACTGCTTTGGTTAGAAACCATCCAGACTGGATGTGGGCTCCCAAGTTCGACGAATCTTTGCTGGGAAAACTCAATCTGTCAGATCCCTTCAGGAAACTGAGGCCATTGGAAATTGCATGACCTGCCCAAGGTCACGCTGCATTTATGTCAAAGCATTCCCATGACCATAGCCACCTGACTCTCCCAGCTGGCTGGAATTATCGATTTTATTGCATAGAATAAGACATGAAGTGGCAGAGCTGGGATCAAAACCAGGTGTTTTCCAAAGCCAAGTCGCAACCGTGGGAAGAGCTGCAGTAACCTATGCCCTATGCTAACTTGTATCTCAAACTAAAGAGTCAACAAGGAAAAGTCCCCCAATCCTCCTGAGCCTGTCTATCCTAAAATTTCTACCTCAGTCCAATCCCCAATAAACACCCTAGGAAACATTGGGCAAAAAAGCCTTTTATTTTCCCCCACATTCCAGCTCCCCACTCTTTGTAACATCTCTTCCAACTCAGAACCAAGGCCCAAGAAGTTGATTCACACCTGGAGAGAAACAAAATCAAAAACAGGGCAGATCAGAGGGCCCTTAGGGGAAGCTCTGGGATAGCTGCAGAAATTAAGGAAGGAGCAGAGGAAGTTACAACTAGAAATAGGTACAGGCACTTATCCAGATTCAAGACCCAGGATCTGCCCGCGGCCAGAAGGCCTTCCTTTCCCAGTCCGCTCAGATCTAAGAAAGGCTGAGAGGGTTCCACCATTTCCTGTCCCAAGTAAGTGATTGGAGCAGTCAAGCCTAGCCCTATGCAAAATAAGCAAAGTTGATCTTGAGCATCCACTTGCTCTGGCCAGAGCCCTTTCCTGGGCCTGGGCTGTTTCCACGTCTCCCACTGTTACTTCCTAGGGCACAGCAGCCAGCTGAAGCTAAGAACAGTTTAAGAGCAGGGTACACAATATATGACTCTCAAATTATGAGACCTACCTGACAGGGTGAGAATTTTTTACAGAAATATTTTTTTCCCTCAATGAGTTGACAGATGAAATTGTTAGCCAATATGTCCCCACCCACTGCTCCCTTTGTGAGGCTGTGTCCCTCCAAAGATCTTGTTAGCAGAATCAACTTTTTCTAAACGCAATGATGGCTAATGGAAAAGAGAAGGTGCATGTAAAGTGCGTGGGCACATAGTATATGCCTGGTAAACGGGCATCATCAATCAATTCTTGTGGGCTGTTCAAGATGAATTTTACAAAATCAGAATTTTGTAATTCTTGGTATCAGAATTTTAGGAGAAACTCAAGACAAACATGATTCACATCCAGGACGCATCACTAAATTTGAACAACTCACCACTGTTGCCAAAAAGCTTGGATGTGAACTACAGCTATGGGCGAATCTTAAAATCAGAATGTTAACCAAAAGAAGTCATTCATAAAGGAATATATATGATTCCATCTATATAAAGTTCAAAAATAAGTAAAATCAAACCATCTTGTTTAGGAGTGACTCTATCTCAGTTACAATTGCCACCCCCACTCCATCTCCTATTCCCACAGGACTGGGGCAAAGAACCTTACCTGAGAACAAGACAGGAACTAGGCCAGTGCCCTCAGAGCCGGGTTCTAGACCAGTGGGACTCCCGGCGGGGGTGGAAGCACACAGCAGTGAGACAACAGAGAAGGCCACAGAAGAGAAGCAGGAAGGAGCCCAAGACCAGCAGCCTGGAGCCACACAGAGCCAGCTCCTCCTAGGGGTGGGCACAGGGAGGGAAGGAGGAATGAATGAGAGAGAGGGAGAGTGGAGAATCTTCCCTTGGGAAGACATCTCACCCTCAAGGGCTATAGAGAGAAGCCTCCATGGGGGAGAGGGCTGTCCACATCCAGCGAGCAACTAAAGGGAAAATGTTATTTCTGAACAAGCTAATTGTCTCGATGGTCTACAAACTGCTTTCTTCCCCAACCATTGAACTGAACCCCCATAAGGACTTCAAAGTTCACTATTATCCACATTTTAAAGACGTGCAAGCAGGTCCAGTTCTGGAAACCAAGATCTTCTCTGCTTCCAAGCTCCCAGGTGATGCTCTTCACTAGGGTCTTTGCAAATGTGAGGGAAGAGTATGCAGCAGCCTCCTAACTGGTCTCTCTCCTCCACTCAGCCATTCTCTTCCACCCAGCACCAGTGGCCCCATGGCCTGAGTGTCAAGTCATAGCATCTTAGTCTGGCATCACAGTGCCTCATGATCAGGCCCCTGCATCAATCTTGCCTCTGCCCCTAAGTCCTTCCGAAGCCCCTCATCATGGAGTGCTCCCAAAGGCTGAACACTTTTCAATCTCTAGGCCTGTCCTCATGCTGGTCCCTTTGCCTGGACTATATTTCTCTCTCCTGAACCCCACCCAAATCTTCCTCATTTTCCAAGGATCATCCTGACAGGGACTCGGAATCAGAAGGCGTAGGTTGCAATCCTGAATCTTCCACTTAACCAGCTGTATGGCCTTGGACAATCACTCCCCCCCTCTCTAAGCCTGTTTCCTCATCTGTAAAATGGGATAATAACAGCTACCTCAAAAGACTATTTTAAGATCAAATGAGATAATGCACCTGAAAGTACTTTGTACATTATAAACTACTGTATACAATTCCCCTTCTTAAATGCCATCCTCTCTGTGAAGCATTCTCCATAAATATTCAAGTTAGGGTTAATTGCTGCTTACTCTGTGTTTGAATAACACTTTGCTCACATCTCTACGGTAGCAATTAGCCCATTCTGCCTCTTATTACAGCATCTGAATTCCTTTGAAGCGGAGATCATATTTTATTGTATTTAAAGACAATAGTGAATAGTAATAGCTGTCATTTATCAAATCTCTATTCTGTATCAGGTATTGTACTAGGCACTTTACATTCTCATTTATCCTTAATTGTTGGAATTAGGAGAGAGTACCCGTTTATAGATGAGGAAGCTGAGGTTCAGAAAGGCTCAGATACTTGTCCAAGGTCACACAGCCTCCCAGGCAGGATTATGAAGGCTGTGCTTTTTCTACTAGGTAAAATTGCCTCCAGGAGCCTTCAAGATACAACATTCAGCATGGCAGTCTATGAAACCCCAACAACCTGAGACTCTTACCGAGGTGAGCAGCTTGGTGAGCGCAAGGCCTTCCTGGCTCCAGACCCTGACACACTCCTCAGCCATCCTACGGCTCAGGGTGGCATTTCCTGCTCCCTCCTCTGAGCAGGATATGGGTGGCTGGCTGGAGGGCAGGATTCCTGGAGCAGCACTAAAATACAGGCAGGTTCCTGGGGTCCTTTCTGTGGTCACCCTGGCTGTAATGAGGACTGCCTCTCTTGCAGAAGATCCTATGAGAAGCACAGGAGAGGAGACAGAAGAAAATGAAGGGTGGGATGGGAGGCATCCATCTTCAGACTTCTATTCATTTCTAAGGCTTCCTATAGCACTGGGTGTTTTGGCATTGATTCTATTCAATAAAGTACTCTATATACCATCATTTATGTCATTGAGAAATGAAAATAACTGTGTACCAATATAAACAAAAATTAATTTAAGTTAGCTTACAATCAATAAAACAATCATACCAATACTTGCAAGGCTGCAGTGAAACTGGGGCAGATACACATTGCTGATGTCAGTTTGTATAATCTAGTTTGTCCTTTTTAAGAAAGCAGTTTTCCACTAGGTACCAAAATCCATTAAAAGGTTCATACCCCATTTCAAATTAGTGGGGAAAGGATAGCCTATTCAGTCAATGGCCTTGGGACAATTTCCATTTGGAAAAAAAAAAAGTTAGACTCTTACCTCTCACACTATAAAAAAAAGTCCAGGTGTATTAAAGACCTATACAAACCAACAAAACAAAACGAAACAAAAACCAGAGAAAACACAGAATATTCTCTAATTTTAAAGTAGGGAAGGCCTTCCTAAAAAAGACAAAACCTAAAAGCCTGAGTAAAGGACAAGAGCAATAAACTTAACCTCATCAAAATTAAAGGCTTCTACACGATGAAAGATAAGTTAAAAAAACAAGTAACAGATTGGTTGAAAATACTTATATTTAATTGGCAAAAAGGTTTACTATCCAGAATGTATAAGGATCTTCTAAAAGTCAAGGAGATCAAGACAATTTAAAAATGAACACAGGATAAGAAAGGGAAATTCGCAGAAGATATGACAATGGCCAAAAAACCTCTACGATGTTCAACCTCACAGGCAATCAGGAGAAAGTAAATTAAAACAATCAGGTAATTCCTTTGCACATTAAATTGGTAAAAATTAAAAAGATTGATAACAAGAGTTGTTGAAGACGCGGGGAAATGGGCACTCTCAACTGGTGACACCTTTTACAAGACAATTTGGCTGTATCTGTCACAATTTTAAATGAGTACAGAAAGGGACTGAGAGAAGGCCCACCAAACTGGATTCTGCAGGGGCGGGAAGGAGGACTTTCACATTTGCTTTGTAAACGTCTATGTGGTCTCAATCCACGACAAAATGAATTTGTCTATTAAAAAAAGGTGCAAACCCTTTGACTCAGTTAATACTACTTGGAGAAACTAACCCTAAGGAAAGGATTCAAAAGAAAAATGCAAACTATGCCAAGAGGTTTGCTATAATTTCATAAAAAATAGGGCCGGCCCCGTGGCTTAGCAGTTAAGTGCATGCACTCTGCTACTGGCAGCCCGGGTTCGGATCCTGGGTGCGCACCGACACACCGCTTCTCTGGCCATGCTGAGGCCGCGTCCCACATACAGCAACTAGAAGGATGTGCAACTATGACACAACTATCTACTAGGGCTTTGGGGAAAAAAAAAAAAAGGAGGAGGATTGGCAATAGATGTTAGCTCAGAGGCATCTTCCTCAGCAAAAAAAAAGAGGAGGATTAGCATGGATGTTAGCTCAGGGCTGATCTTCCTCACACACACACAAAAAAATACCAAAAAATAGGAAACAATAGAGATATTTAACAATAGGTAAAATATTAACAAATGATGGCCTAACCACTTAATGGATCATTTTACATCCATTAAAATAATAATGTTCAGAGCATGCAGTAATACAAAAAACACATGTCATAAGTGAAAAAAGAGAAATACAAACCGGTATATACATCACAGTTACAACTGAGAAACGTACAGGTGAAATTCTGTTAAGAGAACTCCCCTTTCTTCTACATTCCCCAGATCAAATCAGTCAGCAAGTCCTGTCAATCCCACACTTCTAACGTCTCTCTCAAATCAGTCCCCTTCTTTCACAGCACTGTCTTAGCTCAGCTTTTCTCATCATCTTTTTATTGCAACCACTTCTTCACTGGTTTTCCTGCATCTGGACACATTCCTTCCAGGCAGTCAGCCAACTGAGTGTGATCTTTTTAAAAGAACAACAACAATAACAAAATCCCACTATTTTCCTGATTAAAATCTTTAAGTTTGCCCAACGTACTGGATAAAGTCCAAGTACCTTGGCTTGGCACACAACATCCTCCATGGGATTCTGCTTGCTTCTTCAGGCCCATCTCCTGCCACTCACTCAACACTCCTTCCCCTGCACCAGTTAAGCTGAATCCCTTGAAGTTCCTAAACATGCCGTCATGGTCCCCATCTGCATGCCTTTGCATATGCTCTTCCCTCTAGGTGCAAGGGCACGCTCCTAAACCTCCCTTAAGCCTCAGCTCAGGCACTGTATCCTTGGAAAAGCCTGTCTTCACCACCCTTGCTTGACAGACTTCTGAGTACTCCCACGGTACCTTGTCTTCTACTTTACACACTGAAAGATATTTACTTCTGTTCACATCTGTATTCTTGCTAGACTGTGAGCAACTTGAGGCGAGGGCCTGTGTCTTACAGATCTCTGCATTCCTCATGCTTGGTACATAGCAGGTACTCAATAACTATTGCTTAGATGATGCAATCATAGGTGATTATTTTTTATTTTGTCCAAAATAATCTTTGATGATATTATTTTGTTTCTAACCGTCATAAAATGAACAGGGCTTCTTTGCAGAAGCAGGAACTGAGAAGCTGATCCTAACATTCATACGAAAATTCAAGGAATCCAGAATAGCCAAAATAATCTTAAAAAGAAGAACAAAGTCGGAGGACTCACATTTTCTGATTTCAAAACTTAATACAAAGCTACAGTAATCAAAACAGTGTGGTACTAGCATAAGGACAGACATACAGATCAATGAAATAGAACTGAGAGTCCAGAAATAAACTCATGTCCATGGTCAATTGATTCTCGATAAGAGTGCCGAGATTATTCAATGGAGAAAGAATAGTCTTTTCAACAAAACATGCTAGCCACCTTGCTAGAATGAAGTTGGACCCCATCCTTACAATATACACAAAAATTAACTCAAAATGGATCATAGACTTAACTATTAGAGGTAAAACTATAAAATTCTTAGAATATAGGATTAAATCTTAGTGACCTTGGGTTAGGCAAAGTCTTCTTAGATATGACACTAAAAGCACAAGCAACAAAAGAAAAAACATATAAATTGAACTCCATCAAAATTAAAAACTTTTGCGCTTCAAAGAATACCATCAACAGTGAAAAGACAACACAGAGAATGGGAAAAAATATTTGCAAATCATACATCAGAGACTTGTACCTAGAAAATATAAAGAATTCTTACAACTCAATAATTAAAAGACAAATCACCTAATTTTTAAAATGGGCAAAGATTCTGAATATATATTTCTCCAAAGATGATATACCAATAGCCAACAAGCACATGAAAAAATGCTCAATATCTTTAGACATCAGGAAAACGCAAATCAGAACCACAGTGAGATACTACTTCACCCGGACTAGGATAGCTATAATAAAAAAGACAGATAATAACAAGTGTTGATGAGGATGTGGGGAAATTGGAACCCTCAAACATTGCTGGTGGGAACATAAAATGGTACAGCCACTTTGGAAAACAGTCTGGCAGTTCCTCAAAAGATTAAACATAGAGTTACAGTATGATCCAGCAATTCCACTTGTAGGTATATACCAAACAGAAGTGAAAACATATGTCCACATAAAAAATTGTACACAAGCGTTCATAGCAGCATCATTCAGAATAGCCAAAAAGTGGAAACAACCCAAATGTCAATCAACTGATGAATGGATAAATAAAATGTGGAATATTCATACAATGAATGCTATTCAGCAATAAAAAGAAATGAAGTACTGATATGTGCTACAACATGGATGAACCTTGAAAACATTATGCTAACTGAAAGAAGCCAGTCACAAAAGGCCACATATAAAATGAAACGTCCAGAATAGGCAAATCTATAGAAAAAGAGAGTAGATTAATGGTTGCCTAGGGCTGGGAGGCTAGGAGAAAAAACGGGGTGACTACTAATGGGTACGGGATTTCTTTCTGAGGTAATGAAAATGTTCTAAAATTGATTGTGGTGATGGTTGCACACTTGAGTGAATATATGAAAAGCCACTTAATTGTACATTTTAAATCGGTGAATTTTATGGTATGTGATCTCCATAAAGCTTTTACATATATATTTCTTTAAATTAACAAAACAGGAAAAATTGTCCCAAGTCTGTATATATCAGACATATTCCTTTATTCTCGTTCTTTGATCACACACATATACTTGGACATACAGAGACACCCCCCCCCAAACACATACACACATGCAATTCATAGAAGAATCTTAGAATGATAGTGTTGGAAAGGACCTTAGAAGCCAGAGAATTCCACCTTTCTCTCCTTCCTCTTCATCTCCCCATTTTTTAGACAAGGAACCTGAGGCCAAATCTCACACAGGAATTAATGGCACCCTCTGACTCTCTCTCCTTCACTCATCATTTTCCCAGAAGACTCCAAACTCTTTGGGACTGGATGATGTCTAATTTTTTCTGTATCCTCCATGGCACATACAGCTGTGCTAAGCACATAGCAGACACTCATGACACTAGTTTACTTGAACAGAACATGCTTCTACAATATCCCTGAGGAAAAAGAAGGTGCCTCTAAGAGGAGAAGGCCATAGGGATAAAGCAGGTTGAGAAAGAACATTAGGTCAAATCTAGCCCATCTCATCACACCTCCAAGGATAGAATCAAAGAACCTCAGAGCTGGAAGCGGAGAGAGAAAACATTTATAGAGAACCCACACAGTGCACCTCAGGTTCACTCAAAGTATCTAGTCCTTATTACAGCAGAAGTGACTAAGGCCCAGGGATATGCCCAAAGTCACCAGGTTAGTGAGGTCAGAAGCAGGGCCACTCCTGAGTGTTCTAATGTCCAACCGCACAGTCCTCCTTCATCTCACCTTTCAATCCCATCTCACTACCCAGGACCTGAGCTTGGAATGCCTGGGTCTTGTTCTTGTCCGGACCATCTCCAAAGTTCAAGGTGGTCAGTAAGCCCACGACGTGAGACCCATGCCACTTCCCTGTGACTGTCTCATTCACGGGGCACAGGGTCACCTGCCCAAAAGATCTCAAGAAGGAGACCCAGTCCTGTGTGCAAAAGGAAGGTGGGAGAAAGGTGAGAGGATATTAGTAGCATGAACAGGCCCATATGGGAAGGACGAGGAGGGTACTCACCTGAGGGATGTCAGGGCTGCGCAGGCCAGTCCTGTGGGTGAGGAGGAAGCCGCCAAGGCCCAGGCCAGAAAGGCCAAGAAGCAGCAGGATCAAAGCGGCACAGGCCAGAGGTGGGTGGTGGGCCAGACAGAGATGCAGGTTGTGTCCTGCCTGGCAGCTGCCCATGGGGAGCAGAGGGGTCTGGGCCTCCAGGGAGAGCCTGCTGGAGGACAGGAAGGAAGAATTGGACAAGAGCCTACCAGTCAGAAAGCACTTACCCATTTTATTCACAGGGAAGCTAAAGCACCAAGAAGACAAGGGACTTCCTGAAAGCCACACAGCCAGTGTGGATAGAACCAGGACAAGAATTCAAGGTTCCCGACTCCACATGTTCATCTCCCTGCACTACTCAATAAATATTTGCTGCATTTCATTTCTGAAGTAATCAAGGCAGAAGCAGAGCAGAGCATGCTGTGCTGGAAAAAGGAAACCGAAAAGGAGAATTCTCAAGGGGAGAAATTTAGGAAGCAGCTGTTCTGGGGTTAGGGTTTGGCTGAGGAACATCTCTAGCCAACAGCCCAGACAAAGGAAGTGTCTGACGGAAAGAACTTCGCTTTGGAGCTGAACTGCTCAATTTGAATTTTCCTCTGCCACTCATTGGATATGTGAGAAAAATCAGTTAACCTTTGTGAGCTTAAGAATCTGTGAAATGGGAGTTCTAAGAACACCAAGTAACGAGGACTAAATGCGGCAGTTTGCATAGTACGTGGTCTCGCAGGAACTCAACAAATGTCCATTTCCCCTCTATTTCTGTGTCATACTGATCTTCAAAACTAGGTGAGGCAAGACAAAAATACTGTGGGGGAAACTGAGGCTCGAGGACTTTAACAGAAGAGTGGTAGGGCCAAGGTCGGAAACCCGTCTCCTGCTTCCAGGTGGAGTGCTCTTTCCCACGCGAGAAGCGACAGCCTGGTGAAAAGGATCATCTGGAAGGCGAGATAAACATATAACGTGGGGGGAGAAGGAGGGCTCCAAGGAAATGCAAGTGTCACAAATGCTGAGCCTCTTCTCTGCCTCCCGTCCCGGCACATCTGCAAAGGAGGAAAAAGCAGGAAGGGGAACGACAGAGCCCGAGGATCAGCAGCTGGTGGAGCCCCTAGGCCTCCCCTCCCCACCAAAGCCTCTCCTGCAGGAACTCAACACCCGCATCATCCCTTCCCAGTCTAGCAGCGTCGAGGCCACCCGCCGCTAGCTCTCACCGCTCGGAGCCGGGCGGAGGCCGGCGCCCCCCACCACGTCACGCGTGGAGCCGCGAAGGGGCGGGGTCCCTGCTCCCCCCCACCCACACCCACCCCCGCAGCGGGGATTCGCATGCGCAGTGCCCACGCGGAGGCCGCCTTTCCTCTCCAAGTCAGGGTGGGGGCGTACCAAGAGGAAATCCAATGAAGGGGCAAAGGGGAAGAACTAACTCCGCGGGAGATGAGTAAAAGGGAGAGAGCCAAGAAAGCTAATTCTAGAGACGTTGTTAGATCTGTAAATTCTCCCCCCGAGAGACCACGGGGGCATTTCAACGAGAATCTCGTCTCAGGCATTTTTCTGTTGCTCGTCCCCCACCCGCGCCAATCGCACAGCCCTGCCACGCCCAGGTTCCGGGTAAGGATTTGGGGTCCGCCCGGGGGCGGGACTTCAGCCTTTGGACTCTGGCCTTTTGGGTTGGTTGTGGTGTTTCCGCTCCCTGTTCTCTGTGGCCCAATGATGTTTACTGTCTAAACTTCACGCTTGGTCCCTGGATTTTAACGACTCCTTAAGGCATAGGATCCTACAGCTGCAAAGCTGCTCCATAGAGACCATCTCATTTCACTTCTGCCCACATTTTCGAGATGAGAACACGGAGGTCCATCTTACCTGAAGTAGCAGGATTCGTGGAACCAGGAACACTGGGTCCAAATCCTGACTCTGCCCCTGCCTCTGCATAAGCCGTGACCATGCTCTTCTGGGGACTGAATTTACTCTCTGTTAAAGGGGATCTACCTACCTCACTGGTTAGATGGGAAGCTTAAGAGGCCAAGTGCCCAGTGAACACACAACCAGCACTGGACAAATGCTGCTTGAAACAGAGTTTGAGTAGTCAACTCTACTGCGGCTTCCTTAAGGCAGAGACCATGTCATTGGAGTACCACCACTCCAAAAGCTTACAGCACAAAACTCTCATATATGGTCAAATGACATTCAACAAGGGTGCCAAGACAGGTCAATGGGGAGAAGCTGGTCTTTTCAACAAATGGTATTAGGGAAACTGGATAGCCACCTGCAGAAAAATGAAGTTAAACCCTTACCACACCACTACAAAAGTTAATTCAAAATGCATCGAAGAACTAAATGTAAGAACTGAAACTATAAAACTCTTAGAAGAAAACATAGGGGAAAAGCTTCATGATTTTGGATTTGGCAATGATTTTTTGGATATGACACCAAAAGCACAGATAACAAAAGAAAAAAATAAATAAGTGGGACTACATCAAAATTTAAAACTTCTGTGCATCAGAAGATACAATCAACAGAGTGCAAAGGCAACCATGGAATAGGAGGAAATATTTGCAAATCATGTATCTGCTAAGGAGTTAATATCTAGAATATATAAAGAACTCCTACAACTCAAGAGCAACAAAAACCAACCCAATTAAAAAATGAGCAAAGGACTTGAATAGACATTTCTCCAAAGAAGATAAACAAATGACCAACAACACATGAAAAGATGCTTAATATTACTAATCATTAGGGAACTGCAAATCAAAACCACAATCAGAGACCACCTCATGCCTATTAGGATGGCTACTATTAAAAAAAAAAAAAAAGGAAAATAATGAGTGTTAGCAAGGCTATGGAGAAATTGGAACCGTTTTGCAGTGTGGGTGGGAATGTAAAATGGTAAAATCACTATGGGGCTGGCCCCATGGCCTGGTGGTTAAGTTTGGTGCCATCTGCTTTGGCAGCCTGGGTTCAGTTCCTGGGTGCGGACCTACACAACTTGTTGGTGGCCATGCTGTGGTGGCGACCCACATACAAAATAAAGGAAGGTTGGCACAGTTAGCTCAGGGCAAATCTTCCTTAGCAAAAAAAGAAAAAAAAAACTATGGAAAACAGAATGATGGCTCTTGGAAAAATTAAAAATAGAATTACCATGTTATCCAGCAATTCCATTTTTGGGTATATACCCCAAAGAATTGAAAGCAAGATCTCTAAGAGATATTTGTACACCCGTGTTCATAGCAGCATTATTCACAAGAGCTAAAAGATGGAAGCAACCCAAGTGTCCATCAACAGATGAACAGAGAGACAAAAGTATGGTATATATATCTACAATGGAATATTATTCAGCCTTTAAAAGGAAATTCTGACACATGCTACGACATGGATGAACCTTGAGGACATTATGCTAAGTGAAATAAGCCAGTCACAAGAGACAAATACTGTATGATTCCACTTATATGAGGTACCTAAAGTAGTCAAATTTATAGGGACAGACAGTAGGATGGTGGTTGCCAGGGTCTGCGGGGAAAGGGTAATGAGGAGTTATTGTTTAATGGGTACAGCATTTCAGTTTTGCAAGATGAAAAGAGTTCTGGAAATGGATGGTTGCACAAGGTGAATGTATTTAACACTACTGAACTGTACACTTAAAGATGGTTAATTAAGATGGTAAAATTTTGTTATGTGTATTTTGCCATAATTAAAAATAATAATTAAAAAAATACCTGGGGAGGGGAATTAATGGCACAGTCTCCTAGAGTGTAGTGGGTGATAAATGCCATTGATTGACTTAATTGAAATTCCAAGCATAGGAAGTGTTTTCTTCTCAAAGGAAGAGTAAGTGTGGCTGACAGAGAATTTTAGAATCTAAGAATTGGAAGGCACTTAATAACTAAGTAAGTTCAAGAATACCTTCTGCCCCCAACACAGACACACACACACACAGTTTATTTCCCAGCTGTAAACTGTTGTCTGGAGAGGTTAAGGGACTTGCTCCAAGTCTCCCAACAAGTGAAGCCTCAGCCAGAACTAGAGTCCAAGTGTCTCAACACCAAATCCAGGCCTGTCCCACTAAATTCTCCTTCCTCAGTCCTACCAAGAGATCTCTCCTGAAAACCTACCAAGGCCTCTGGCCATTCACACTCAGTCATGCCCAGCCCAGTCTGGGCCAACTAGGTAACCTTTCCCTAGTCTTGGTCTAGTCTCCCTAGCCAGCTCCTCAGCTCCTAACATCCATTGCCAATCTTCCTCTTTTTTTTTTTGCTGGAGAAAGATTAGCCCTGAGCTAACATCTGTGCCAATCTTCCTCCACTTTGTATGTGGGATGCCGCCACAGCATGGCTGTTGAGTGGAGTATGTCCACACCCAGATCCGAACCTGCAAACCAGGGCTGCTGACATGGGGTATGCGGAACTTTAACCACTCAGCCATGAGACCAGCCCAGGTCTTTTCATATTTGAGCGCATAGTATTCACTCAATAAATATTTGTTGATTAATTTATTAAAAACAGCTTTGTACAGGCCAGTTTCCCCAAGAAGTCACCAATTTTCAGTCTCATTTTAAGGTTGGGAGCACATCTGCCCATGCTTGAATGTTTGTGAAATTTAGGTTAAAACATAAAAGAAAGTTTATTAGGTCAACAATTATTTTTTAGTGCCTACTATGGTCCAGGTACAAAATTAATATCCATATAGCAAAAACTTTGTCAGTGCTTCTACTTAATGACAAGTCTAATTTGTAGGGTAAGATAAGGCATGAAAGTGCCCGTGTAGTGCTGGTACACAATAGGAAATCAACAAATGAGAGTTCCCCTCCTATTATTCTTGTGCAGCAGAGTAATTAGGCATGTTTGGACAGCAGTTCCTGTAAATGACCCATAATTGATATTTACTTATATAGCCAAACCAAGCAATTCTAATGGACCAGTGAAAGCAAAGTGGTTAGGGCAAGGAACTGCCTCAAGCCCTGAGAATCAGGGTAAATGGATGTGAACAAATGTCTTATGCAGAAAAAAAAAAAAAAAGGTGGTAGGGTGAGGGGAGCAGGAGAGAACACAAAATTGGTTGTGCACTGTAATGCTCCAGCATTACACCAACATTCTGACTTAATCTACTCATCAGGCCCTCAAGGTGGATGTTACTGTAGAAACCTGGTCCTAGACAACTTAAATGATTTAACCAAGGTCACGAAGGTAGTAGGTGGCAGAAGTTGGCTTATGACTCAAGCTTGACTACAACCTATCATTGTATTGTATTGTATCATGTGAGAATCAGAAAGCCAATTGAGAAGGGTATCACCCAGTCCCTTGAAAGGAATTGAGGGAGGGGTTCCTCAGTCACTCAATGGGGATGAATTCCTCTCTGAGCTCTGGC